CTATGTCCAATACTGATACTGTACGAATAGTTCAACCTTATGAGGTGTCCGTACTTCATAGACGATAATTGTTACATTAAGAAAGATAAGACCTTTTTTTATAGCTAAAAATATAAAATATTTTTAAAAATGATTGAGTTTTAATGTTTGTAAACTATTCTTTTTCCTTTTCTTAAAACAAAAAAAATGCTCTTTTTTTTTTTTTTAATGTGAATATTTGTAAACTATTCATTTTTTAAAAAGGAACTTATTATTCACTCTTAAATTTATGAATTGCAATACCTATTTTTTACAATTTATTATCTATCTAATTTTATATGAATAAATTTTAATATTAATCAGTGTACTAGAGGCACTCATTAGAATAAATTTTCAATATTTCTAGCTAGTTCTGGAACCCTTGATTATTATTTGTAAAGCAAAGGGAAAAAAAAAAAAGAGAAATCAATGATTTTATCACTTTTATCCTCAATGATTCGAATTGTTCAACTACATAACAATCATATAACTTCTTCTAAACTCTAGAACTCACTTTTTCTTCCAAGTTCTTTAAACTAAGCACATTTTCCATTTGTTGTGCTGTGTTGTTTCTTCCTGAAAGTACTTGGTGGATCTAGATGCAGCATTGGGAGTTACCTAAATTTTAAATTAAAAAAATCATATTTCCCACGGTCAAAATTTAACTTTTAATTTCACCCTGACCGTTAATACTTGTGCCATGTAAGTATATGGGTCAATCCTACATATACAACGAGTAAATCGCAAATAACGAGAAAAAAAAATACATATTACTGTCACGATCCATATTTAATATTGTATCAAAGCCTGAGGTTAGAATCTATACTGTATGAGAAAAGTTTTTGAATAAGTCGTATATTAATGGATTGTATTGATACACCCTTCAAGTGACAATTTTGCCTCTCAACAAGCCTGTGATAAGCAAATCAAAGATATATACATATATAAGATCGAATAAATGAAATATAATGGGTAAAGTAAATCAAATGAAATGGCTTAGACAATTTTGTGTGAAAGATAAATACAACTCATTATAAATTCAAATTAATAAATAAATTATTAATGAAATTGATGAATTACTCTTAGGGATCAGATTTAATATTGAAGCACTAAAAATTTTATATGGTAATATATATGCAAGTTGATTTTTTTTTTTTTTTTTTTTTGATTTAATATTGAAGCCTAAAATTTTATATGGTAATATATATGCAAGTTTGATTTTTTTTTTTTTTTTTTTTTTTGGGACAAATCAAATGCTTCTCTATTATTCATATCAAATTTTTTTTTTTTTTTTTTTTTGGACAAATCAAATGCTTCTCTATTATTCATATCAAACTGAAGAACTTCATCGATTAAAGTTGGAAAGACGGTACCTCACTCTAACAAATCAATTATAAAAACTAACGCCCAAGTTAATATATATGCAGCTTGATTTCCTGATTTCTCAACAAAGCTAACCTCTATCATGGCAATGCTTAACATGAGCATTCTACAATCTACAGTTAAATTCTCTCCATAAGATATGAAAGTTAGAGTTGAGGTAGGTCACTTGCACAAAACTTGGCTATTAAGAATACATAATTAACATATTGATCATGTTTCTAAAAACTTGTTTCTTCTTTCCATATTCCTTTTTTTCACTCACATGGTTTAAAGCTAGGTCTATTATTATTTTGTTCTTCAATTTTAAATTTGAATATTTGAAATATAAAATTCATTGAATGTGGACGAATTTCTAAACTTTCTTTCAAATAATGATACTATCGAATTAATATTTCAAGTTCCAACAGTTAGATGCATGGCTCTTCCATAATCAATTGTTTTATCACAATTAATTTTTATTTATCTTAGCTTATATGCTCAATTTCATTTTTAAATTTTTGTTGAACGTCTAATGCCAATAATTAATTTTAAACTTTATTAAGACGTATAAATTTTGAATTTAGAATGAAATTATCCATTTTTATTAAAAATAATACTCCTCTTGCTCACATTTGAAAGTACAATATCCACAAATAAGTGTCATATTTTTAGATTTTAAAAAATAATTATTATTTTTTCTTATTTTACTCTTTGCAAATTTGGAACATTAGTTGCTATAATTCACAAAAATATTTCTCTTTATTGTAAATAATATAGTCAATTTATTCCATAATTTATTACAAATTAGAAAAATTAAATGACTTTCTTCAGGAACGATAAAATGCAAATGTGACAATTATTTATGGATAGGGAGTGAAATACAAAATTTTAAATTTTAAATATTTTAAAATAATAAATAAAAATTTAAAAATAAAAAATAGTGAAAAGAAGGAATAAAAAATAAAAAATTTTAATTTTAATATTTTAAAAAATAGAAAGTTTAATATACTACTATTTTTGTCCTAAATAGAATAAATTAATTTTAAACTCAAAATTCATATCATAAATCTCAGAATTTAATTTATATCTTTCAAATTAATTTTAAGAAGATTTTGTATTATAGACATTTAATCATAAAATATCCCTCGATTCATTTTTATTCACTCTTCATAGATATCATGTGTTAATGTAATTTGACTAGGATCACCATTTCTCAATCGTTTTATCATTTTGGCTGCGCTGCCGACAAAAGATAGGTCAAATACAGATTTTTTTTTTTTTTAACGAAAATTTATTCATCCCACCACCAAAGTGGGTTTTAATTTTTAAATACTTATTTCCTAATTAAAAAAATGTGGGTTTAAAATTATAATATAATATAAATTATGTCTCCCACTTGCAAAGATGAAGTGGAATGCACTTGGTGTTTGTTTGTATCCTTTTTACTTAGACTGTTGTTTTTTAATTTTTATGTTTATATTATGTTTCTGTGTGCTAAAAGTTTGATAAATTCTCTTATTTTCTTCTAACATTAACAGTATGAGATTATTACATCGTGACAAGCCACCACGTCTCTTTAACCTAATCCAATTCAAAAGTCCGCCATAAATATATTGCCAAAACAAAATATTGTAACGGCAGCTGACCTTATTTAAGATATTATATCCTTAATTGGTTAGGTATAGTAATCAAGTGCTTAAATACATTATACCATAAGTGTCATTAGCACGTTGGATTAAGCTTAATTCTACTTGCGCTGCGTCAGATTTATAAAGAAGAAACGCTCTCAGCGAGAATTTTCTTCATTTGTAACGTTCGAACATTCGAACTCTTACTTAAAAAATCTGGTTTCTTTCTACTCAAACAAACTCTTTTGATAAATAGGTTTGTTAATTTATTGAAAAAGTTCAATCTTCGAGCCTCAAATCATAGATGAGGATTGTTCTCTCATTTATAATCCTTTAATTTCGACGTGAATGCTCTGTTTTTGATCGGCATGAAGAGATTAATTTAGCATAATACATAAAAGCCAGTTCATATATTAAAATAAAGAATATTTTAATTAACGACCCACCTAATTAGTATATTATATCCTCAATTAGGTTTAGTATGTGCTTAATTAGATGTCTTTTTTTTATTTAATCAATTAATTTGAAGTGATATTGACTAATTTTTCCTTCAGGTAAGGCTATGTTGATTGGGGGTTAGAAATTAGAATTGATTTGGTAGGAAGCAATATGGCAATTGCTTCCTCTAATTGTCAAAAAGAAACAAAATGGTAGATAGTAATGCGAAGTGTGGAACATATGCCACTATAGGATTTACTTTATTATATACTAAGTTGTTGTGAACCACTGCCTTAAAACTTTCCTACAAGCTATAATAAGCACTCTTTTGTAGGACCAACTAATCATTTTGTGCCTATATTTGATTTTAAGAGGTGTTCTCAAACTATTGCATTTTGCATTTTGTGATTGACATTTTTTTTTTTTTAAGGTTAAAATTGCAGATCACATAAAAGATTAGATATGAATTACAAGAAGATGTAAAACTTTATTCACTGATCTGTTAATAAAAGAAACAGAACAAATGAAAGTTATTTAAGCAAAGCTTTACAATCCAAAATTAAACAATCAAAATAGGATGGATCAATATGGCTTCGGTTCATAGCTTGGATAAACAAAAGGGAATCCGTTTCAAATTCAACAACTTGGTATGTAACCATTGTCATTGACATTAAAATTAATATTTTTATTATGATTATTTTGAAAAACATGTATATTTTGTTAGTTTTCTCACTGATATAAGTAGTGACAGATCTCGGTTTCGAATTCTCTCAAACACAATAATTTTATTCCTTGTTATGTAGCTCTAATGTCAGAGCCAAGATTGAAGAATACTAGAATAAAAAAAAAAAAAAATTAAAAGTTAAGTGGTAAAATTTAAAAGATACACTATCTTAAATATAAAATCAAAAAATTTTAGAAATTTAAAGGGAAAATTTTTTAGAAAAAATTGCTAAGGAGGCAAGAGCCACTTAGCACCCCTTTTGTTAATAAGTCACGTAGCATATAATGTTATTTCGGTGATAAAAGAAAAAACGACAATAATAAAAATTTCTCGAAATGAATATCTTTGAACATTCTGGAATTTAAACGTAGCTCAAATCATTGGGTGATGAGTCTGATATTGACATCACTCAACAAGAATTTTCATTCAAATGTACATTTCTTAATACTGTTACTCAAAAATGGTCCTCCATAATATAATTATTATTGTATTAATTTTCATTCTTTACTCTAATAGAAAAAACTATTAATGGGTATTTGTCCATTGCTCTCTTGGTCTTAGCTGTAATCTCTGCAATTAATATCTTTCTATTCAATACATTTTCAACTGTAAACCACTTCCTAAAAGAAATTTCTCAATATTGCAAGAATATCCCATCACACAGTGAAATCTTAAAAGAAAAAAAACTATGTATATTTTTGTGTAATTTATTTAATTAAGAAAATAATTCATTGAAACACTTAAAATTTCTATCAGGAGATTTTAAATTTTAAATTAATAAAAATTAAGGGGAAGAATCATTTTTTATGTTTGTGGAAGTGGAAAGAACAGAGACAGAACAAGATCTCAGATAACATTTATCAAAATGCAAAATTGATTTAATTAGTACAAAATTTTACAAATATGATTCCTACAAAAATTTCATCCTATCTTCTATCCTCTTCATTTCACATATTCCCGCAAACAAGAACCAAAATTGATAACAAAAGATCAAAACAAAACTGATTAAAGAAAAAGAAGAAGAAAATAAAGAAAGAACAAAAGATCTCTTTCTTTCTTGAGATTAAACTTGTTCTTGATTATTCTGGCAATTGCAGTACCCAACAACTTGTTCTTGCACAGGCTTAGGCATAGCCAAATATGTAGGATTGTGATCACCAGCCATGATAACAACAATCTTTGGCTCAAAATCAACCATTTCTAATTCCACTTGCTTCACTGATTTCTCTTCACCTACTCTATCACTAGAATTAGACAAAGAAGACTTCCTATAGGAGCAAGCAAGAATTATTAAAGCAATAGCAATGATCCCCAACATAAACGCTAACCCACCGAACAGGTAAGGCATAGGAGAGCTCCAGTGCCAGAATCCACCGCCGGCGGTGGCGTTGCTTCCTGAAAGACTCATTTTTGCAAGATTGGGATTCAGACTCGCCACCTCTAATTATTTTTTTAAAGACTCTCACTCTTACTAGAATTTAAACCTAAAATCTTTTGCAATGAAAAGAGGGTGTGAAGCTTTCTTGGTATTTATAGGGGAAAACAAAGGTAAAGAGAGAGCATTGAAAGAAAGAAAGAGATGATTCTTTATCTTTCTTGGGCTGCACTGCTTCTGGCCGTGTAGAATATTTTTTTTTTTTCTTTTTCCTATTAGTTGTTTTTTTCCTTTCTTGCTTTTCTTGCGTTTTTGGGCAGCCGCGTCCCACTAGCATTAAATAATGTCAAGAAAAGAAACAATCTTTGACGTAAGAGAGATACATAAATGTATGTCTATTAGTGTATATGACATGGCATAGCAAAGTCCCAGCTAAAGGGATGCGTTTAGACGCTGCTTATGCTCTATGACATGTCCACTCGCCACAATGGTTTGGTTTAGTCTTATCTAAACTCCGTTTATAATCTATTTATGAACTACATTGATGATTTATAATCTGAACAACATGAATGAAAATAATGATTTTTTTAAATATTATTTTCTTTTTATCTTTTTTTTTTCAATATAAATTAAAAAATATCTTCATTTTAATAAAAAATTATTTTTTTTATTAATTTCGTCTACTTATGGATAATAAACTAGAACTAAGAAAGTCAATCCTCTTGATGACCTATTTTCTTAAGTGGAAAATATGCTTTAAAATGAAAATTTATCTTTCAAAAAGTTTATTGTTTTTTAATTACCAAAGACAGTAATGTCAATAATATAATTTTTAAATTTTATTTAAATAGCAAGGTATAACAAATGATAATTAAAAATTGAATTGATAATATAAATTAAAAAATTATATACTTTCATAATTTATTTTAACCAAACAAAGCCTAAGATAACCAAACAAAGCCTAAGAATCGAGGAGAATTGAGTTTACCAAGGAACAGAAAGTTGTCAGGTTCATGAACATTTTTTTTTTTTTTTCAATTCAGGAAATTTATTGGCAAATATTAAATACCAAATCGGTACGTCAAGATATGAGATTAAAAATTAATATGACAGAAATTATTGAAAAGAAGCAATAATTACAAGACCATAGTCCGAATTATTTGATTCAGATTTGAAAAAATTAGAGAAGAAAGAAACCAGTCACTGTGTGAAGAAGAGCTAGAGTGTAAGGAAACACTCATGAAATTTCGTATTGAGTAGAAGACCAGGCACGTTATAGCCCCACCACAGACAACAACATTTCCTTTGGACAACTCAAAAGGTACATTATGGGAGGACAGAAAAACCACACACTTTATCCTAGTTGGATGCTGACTTTGGTATGCCATCATAAATCTTTGTGCTTGTCCACACTCGACCATAGGATTCTGTTCCATTACTATAAGTTCATTGCTGTGTTCGAAAATAATTTTTTAAGTAGCTAATAATTTTTAACGTTTTGATCGGTTTTTCAGTGTTAGATAATATAATATTTAAATTAGTTTAAAAGTTAAAGTAGCGGTTTATAAAAATTAACACACATACTTAAACAATCATCTTTGCATCTGAAGAGAATTGAAGATTACAAAAAAACAAACTTGATGCACAAAGGGCATTGATGTTGATAGTAAACAGCCAAATAAGTAGATAGAAATTGATTTTCACTAGACCATTAACAATTTCTAACCCTAAGAATAAAAGAATCTTTATTGCACAAAAGTTTCCAAGAAACGAAAAACTGCAATCTCTCTGTGATAATTGAACTTGGAATTATTTACGAACTGAAGGAAAAGATCTTTTTATTTACAAAGGCGGATGTTGGTAAACAGATTGCAGTTTTGATTCTAACAAAGAAACTTGGAATTATTTACGAACACTGAAGGAAAAGATCTTTTATTTAACAAAAGGCGGATGTTGGTAAAGGCCAGATTGCACGTTTTGATTCTAACAAAGAAACATACTTGTCCAAGCATTGAAATTACGGACTTCAATTCAGTCCCTTTGTTGCTGCGATTATGATCCAATTTGTTGAAGCATACTCATCAAAACTACTACTTTTTGATTTCAACTGCGTGCTCTTAGCTGACAAGAATCCGCTCGAACCCAGAAAGCCACATCGACAAAAACCTTTTATACTCTTCAGCCACTCTTCCATTCATTTTTAAATCCAGAAGTTTTCCAAACAGATTGTTTGTCCCTATAAGTCCCATGAACAACAAGAATAAGAAATTAAAATATTAATTCCGAGACCAATGAACTAACAGTTTGAAAATAATTGAAAGAAATTCAAGGCAATAAAAGGAAAGAAAGATAGAAATAGGACATAAAAATGAACAATTAGGTTTCTTAGATTTTTAAGACCTGAAGTTCGCCTTATGTACCATGGTGGAAATACTAAGTGAGAAAATCATTGAAGCGAATCAGCAAGCTCTTCTTGACCTCTACCTCCTCTCTTCCCTGCAAGCCATGTACTTAGGTTGCCTAAAATCTGTTCTGCCATGAAAACAGCACCTAGTTTGCTTCTTTTGCATTAATATTCTTTTGTTCTGAAGGCCAAATGCTTTCATATCAAGAGCCATCCAAAAATACAACAACTATGGTGTGGACCATAATTATGAAGTAATAAACAATCCTGAAAGGAAATAGATTATTACTATTATGCATTTATAGAACAAAATATTCAAATACCCGTTAAAACCTTAATATGACAATGCCAAAGTTTCTCCAGTTTCTACTCTAGATTGTATATGAAGTAACAACTAGGCCTAAATCTGTTCTGCCAATGAAAACACACCTAGTTTTGCTTCTTTTGCATTATATTCTTTTGTTCCTGAGCCAAAATGCTTCATCAAGAGCCAAAATACACAACTATGGTGTGGACCAATAATTATGAGTATAAACAATCTAAAGGAAATAGATTATACTATTATGCATTAAGAACAAATATTCAAATACCAGTTAAACCTTATATGACATGCCAAAGTTCTCCACAGTTTCTACTCTAGATTGTATATGAGTAACAATAGCCCTCCTCAATATCTCTCTCTCTGTGTATATACACATATAAGTTTTATATCAATAACAACAATGACATAAAATTTCTATCTGCTAGAAACCCTAATCCCACCACTATCACAGAACCCAAGTCCAAAACCCTTGTTGAACTCTTAATCTCTTCAGTAACAATAAAATTCAATCATTTTAATAAATTTGCATTACTCCAAACAAATTAGTCCCTCAATTAATACCATGTTAAATATACAGTTAATTTAATTGGAACAATTCAATCTATGTCTGTCGAATTTGAATAACTAAGGAGCTCATAAGGACAAAAGATCAAAATCCGTTGAAATGAAAATACGAAATCATGTAAAATGCAAGAAAAGAAAGGAAAATGGATGAAATGGAAGAAGATAATTACCAGTAAAAGGAGCAAATTCTTGCCTACAGAAATGCATTCAGCTCTCTCAGTCTCTCTTCCTCTCGTCTGTGTCTATTTAGGGTTGATGATTTGGGGATTAACGGCCACTGCCAATTGGGGATGACATGGTGTCATTTTCGTAGTTATACATATCAATCGAGGACTACATGGTCAAATGCCGAACTTCAAATTATTATTGGTGGCGTGTATTTGCTGTAAATTAGCACATTAAGATTAAGTTATCAATAAGTATTTTCATAATTACTTTGAAATTAATTATGTAACAATTTTGATTTTTTCAAGAAAATCTTAAAAGTTATTCCTCTAAAACAAATATCCTAATTAAAAATTAATTAATTCAACATTGATCTAATATTTTCTGTTTACCAACCCATATATGTACAAATACATAAAATCACTTCACATTTAAAAAAAAAAATTAGCAACCAAAATTTATGAATCTATTATTCTCCAAAAATTACCAATTTTGATAATATTATAATAATATTTTTAGATATTTTAATTTTTATTTATAAAATATTGATTGATATATTTAAAATAATTATTTTAATTTTTTCAACTATTCAATAAATGTTTAATCGATTTAGTTTACGCGTATGCATCCTATTTGCATATCAATATGCATCCTATTTTCATATCAATGGAAGAAATGTTCAATTCTTTTACATAAAAATGGATTTGCAAGTTGAATTATTTAATTTATATAATTTTATAAATTAAAATATTCAACAAATTAAAATAAAAATTTAATAATAATGGATATATGAGTGCATTTTATTTTCTTTAGACTAATTATATGGATATATATTTTTTTTTTCCTCACAAAATAATAGTGGACATAGACTATTGTAATAACGGCACTACTAATATGAGTTGAAAAGTTTTTAGTCACATCTTGCATGATTGTGTTTGTGTTAGAAAGGGCTAAATTTCTTGGTGTCAAGATATGTGTATGTATGTGTTTGCATGTCTACCACTAATAACAAGTTCAAGTTTAATGGCTCCTTCCTTAATTTGTTTACATTATTCACACAAACTTTCAATTAGAATTATTTTTTAGCACTGCCAAAGTTCTATTTATCTTTTTTTATAAGTAATATATATTTATTTTATATATAGAAAAAACTCAGCATTTTCAAATTTTTAAATTATAAGCTTCTCAATTAGGTCCGACCTAACTCGTAAATGCTAAGTAAAAAACCTCAAAAACCTCAACTTACATCAGATTGATATCTTCTTGAGATAAGAAGATAAATGAAATTCTAAAATTCTGACCAGTTCTTTATAGTTGAATTGCGTTTTATTTAAAAATCAAGCATATGTATTTTTTGATGTCTAAAAAGATAACCTACTGTTCTTCTAAAAAAACAATTCCTACGGAGGAGATAAGATTTTTCAATTTCATCTTTTTTTTTATTAATGCTGGAATTTAAATTACTTGACTAAGATTTTATTTCAAATCCTTCAAATCTATGAATTTTATTTTTCAATTAAAATAATAAAATGTGAAACCTGTAAATTTTATATCCTATCTATCTAAACCACTGCTTAATTCTAATTACGATTCCTTCCTGAAACTAATAAATTCTAATTATGAGTTCCCCAAAACTAATAATTTGACTTGGTTTGATTCCAATTAATCATTTCAATTCGATTCTGATTTCGGTCGAGAGCCAAACCCAAAACAGATAATTTGATATTGATCCCTCCTTTTTACAAGCAAATCTTGGCAACTGAAATGAGAATATTTCAGTTGGAATATTAATTAATCTAGACTCTGAATTACGATACAAAAAATGATAAGCTTTTGGCCGTTTATTCATTTGAAGGGTTAGCTAACGATTCAATCTTTTGAAGGTTCATACACATTATTTTTTCTTTATTTTTTCGTAAAAAAGAAATTAAAGCATAGCTAAAAGAAGATGCTTTACTTTCCTTATTAATTAATTTAACAGCTCAAAGCATTAATTAAAAACAAAGAACAAAGTAATGTACCATTTGGCATTTGCACTGAATCCAACTAAATGCAACTTTTCCCACAAGGTGAAGCCAACATATATTCTCAATCACTTGCAATGTAATCTGCCCAATTGATATAATTGATTACAAGAAAGTAGAATTAAATCTAGTTAAATTATTCTTTTAATATATTTATTTACATGAATTCAGCATCCATAATCGCTTATATTAATTTCTAAATATTCTTTTAAAGAAAATACACTGCATGATTTGAATTTTTAGAGTCCGTTCAGCAAAATTAGCCGTTTTAGTAGCTATCAGATGTTTTAGTAGTTTTTTACAAAACGTTACGTTAACCTCTAAAAGCTAATTCAAACATTATGTTACCCAATACCATAAAAGATAGTGTAAAAGCTACTTAAAAAGATGTTGCCGAGCATAGTCTTAATGTTCTGTATTTTGCAATATACATTAATTTTACTATAGTGTTTATTTATATAGTATTGCAAAATATGGGTGCCCATAAAATTCACATGGCATATTTCCATAGATGAGATAGAATGACATGACTCTTTTCTTCTTTAATAAAGGGTCTGGAGTTCGAATTATAAATGTAAATCCCTTTAAACACTAAGAAAGGTCTCGCACAAATTCAAATTAATCAAGCTAATAGATTTCAGATACAGATAATTTAAAAAAAAAAAAAAATTGACATGGTGTATGTTAAAGGAAAAGAGTAAAGAACTAGGATCCATCAATCTCAATCAATTTCAAATGGAAAATAAATAAATAAATAAACATTTTTAATTTGAATAATAGTGAAAATCTAGCAAGTGGTAGTGGAAGTTGCTATCATTGATGATGTACAAATGCACTTCTCCTTTAGACTTATTTTCCATGTTTATGAAAACTATACATTCATCTTTTTACTTACTCCTTTGTCGATTCCATATTTAACCCTTTTAATTAAATTTCTATGGCTCCCAATATTAACAGTGTTTTTGTACATATAAGAAATGCAATTTCGAGTGTCCACATCTATTTTTTTAACCTAATCCAATCCAATCCAATAATGAAGCTAAATGAAGTTAATTTTCTTTTCTCCCTTTTGTCAAAGATAGTTAGCTACCAGTCCAAGAAATGTTGTACTTGAAAGACTCATTTGGTCACTATTTTGGATATTATTGAAGACCTAATCATCACTATTAAGTCAGCTTTCTTTATGTTTAATTAAAATTTTCTTTCATACCCACTTTAATTTTTATTTTATTTTTAATATTAATTAGAGTGGTAAACGAGCCGAATCTTAAAAATATATTGAATTCGACGTATAAATAATTTTTTATTTATGTGTGGACCATTTGCTTTTGTGAATTATTAAACAATTTTAGTTGTTTCTCTCCAATTTCCATCCTTGATGACTTCTTTAAGCCATTATATGGGCCTCCAAGTCAATAAAGTTTCTGATGAAAACTGCAATTATATTTATATTTATATATAAATAATTCATTTAATGCCAAACCAAGGAAAATTTTTTATCCATGCCTCAATGTCATAGTCTACCACTAAGGGGGTCATTGCCAAAATGGCACTAAATTATTAATTAATCAATTAACTAGAAGATATACACAGTACTTTCTTCATCTCAAAATATAAATCGTTTAAAGTTTTTGCATAAGGATTAAAAAACTAATTAATTCTATTAAATTATTACAAAAACAAAAGGTAATTTGATTAAATTATACTGTATCTCGAAACTAATAATTATTTGTGAAAATAATTATTGTATTTAATGTAAATAAGAGTAATATTAGAAAAATATTTTTCTTACTCCTTAAAATACTCAAAACGATTTATATTTTGTGACAAAATAATCACCAAAAAATTACTTATATTTTATAATAGAGAGAGTACTGTATATATATCTTAATTTTTTGAAATTGTTTGATTCCCCTTAAAATTAAAATTAAAAACAAAAATGTATGTTTTTATTTAAGTATGTATTTTTTACATTATGAAACAGAAGATATGTACTATTTAGGATAATAATTATATTCTAAAAGCATATATCCTTTTAATACTTCATACTAAAATAAGTATTCATTTTATTGTTTGATGATTTATCAAGTTTATGATTATTCAAAATTTTAGTAACTAAAAACACAAAAACCAAAGTAACTTATTTACTTGCCAAATATTGGGATTGATTGTTATCTATATCTTGAGATTTTATTCTCAAATTTAGTTTTGAGTTATTGTTATCACCGTTATGGTAATTTTCTCTATCGCCTTTAATTATTTGGATAGTTATGTAGAAAGAAGTGCAGATCTTATCTCCAACCGAGGGAAGAAATTTGAAGGTAATCAGATCGGACTTGTAGAAAGATCATGAAGTCGAACAGTGACCATGAATAGCCACCAAGTGGAGCAAGCGTCGCCTAGGCATAAATTTTATGCTCTGTGAACTCGAGCAGATACTTCAAATCAAGATTGTGTTTTTTTATTTTTTGTATAAGTGGTTTATTATTAGACTTCTTATGAAAAAATATAGAAACATATTGATCTGTTTCTCATATATATATACAGTTTCTAATTAACGAAATTTCTAGTTTGATTTTTCTAAAAAAAAAAAAAACTTATTTACAAAGTAGTAACCACAAAATAATTTTTTGATTTACCTACGGGTTGTGGCTCAGTTGGCAACGCATGGGCATGTGAGAAGAGATCTCGAGTTTGATTCCCATTAAACACACCTACAGGGAGGACCCCGAATCGAATTAAACGGTCCCTGTTAATAGAGTCTCCTAAACACACCTGCAAAAGAGGGCCTCACACCGGATTAGGGCGGTCCTAGTAATAGAGTCCAATGGTTTATACCAAACAAATAATCTTCTGATTTATTGACTTTTAATTAAAATATAATAATAAATAATATTTGAGATATTTCAAATAAACAATATGAGCACTTATTACGTAATAAATAAAGGATTATGAATTGAAATTTTTTTAATTTGGATGAACTAAAGAAATAAAATAGTAATCCTAATTATAAATATATTCTATCAATTCCTAATTAATTGTAGAGGGAGCTAAATAATATGGTAAGAATGTGAAAGCATTTCTTTCAAAAAAAAAAAAAAAAAAAAAAAAAAGGATTCAATGAATTGAAAAATTTTTTTAATTTGGAAATGAACTAAAGAATATAAAATAGTAAATGCCTAATTATAGAATAATATATTGCTATCATTTCCTTAATTAATTGGTAGAGGGAGCTAAATAATATGGTAAGGAATGTGAAAGCATAAGGTATCTTTTCGAAGAGTGAAGCAAAAATAGAAAAAAAAATAACAAAAAAAGAGACGAAAAAGAAAAAAAGAGATGTAGAAAAGCATACTAGTGATTAAATGCTTTAGCAAGGCAGATAATTTGCCTCGGTTAATCATATGCGAAAAAAAAAAAAAAAAAAAAAAAAAAGAATGTGAAAGCATTAATTAACTTTAGCAATACAAATAATTTCCTCGTTATCATACATATGATGTGGCTGATTGAGACCCAAAAAATGTTAACAGAAATTTCTTCACCTTCATTATCTACTCCTAAATCCTAATGATTCCTATTAAAGTGGCCTGCCTATGTAATAAAAAATTAAATAATTTCTTGATTAAAATTCAGAAAATTAAACATATTATATTCCTTAATACTTAAAATTAATCTCATCAATTTACAAACACAATCTGCCGCAAAACACTAATAACAAACAAAATCCTAAACTCAAACCTACGAAAAAGAAAAGGGTGGGAACAATTTCTAACACAAACCAAAGAGAAACGGATAATAAAAATATATGAATTAAGCATGATTCTTAAACTCGTAGTTGATCATCAACTTGGCAAGTGCAAGGCAGTGGCTTTGGATTTGGCCTTGGCTTTGGCTTGGCGAGAAAGGTAGGGTTATGGTCACCAGCCATAATAACAACAATCTTTGGCTCCGTCTCCATTGGAAACTTGACCTGTTTACTGTGTTGAGATTTTTCTTCATCTTCTTGTTCTTCTTCTTCTTCTTCTTCTAAACCAGGAATTGGTGATGGTTTCTTGTAAGAGCAAGCTAGAATAAGCAATGCCATGGCTATGAGAGCTAACATCAGACCTAACCCACCAAAGAGGTAAGGTATGGGAGAGTTCCATTTCTTGAATTCTTCACCTTTAATGGCAGAACCAGATGGTGCTATGCTTGTTCTTGTAGCCCTCATTATTATTATTTTTCTTTTCTCTCTGTCTTTCTAATCTTTTTGTAATTAGCACAAATGAGATAAGATAAGGAGAGTTTGATAATGTCATACATATTTATAATATTTATTAAGGGTTCAACAGTAATTAACTGGATTTTTAGGAATTGGTTTTTGGAAGTTATTACTTGATTGCCATTGCTTTTGGGGAAATTAAAGAAAAATAATAATAATAAATGATGATAATGGTTATTCTTTCTTGGACTCTAATTATACTAATAGGAGGGGCCCAATTGTTGACAACTCCCTTTATTTCTTATATTTTTTTTTTAAGAAAAAAATAATTTGCATTATACAACTGTAAATGTGCTTAGTTGTTAATTATAGTTAAATCTAGCTAGGTAGAGCAAATGGGAAATTGAGAAGATTCTTGGCTATACATTTTTGTTAATTAATAGTGTTTTTTTAAACAACCTCAGTAAATTATTATTATCTCTGTTCACTGATATTTGTCACATTTGAAATTTCACGTCCTTTAAGAAAATCATTAAATTTGTATAAGTTACAATAAATTATTGAGTAAATTGACTATATTACCTTAATTTAGTAAATTATCTATTATCTCTGTTCACTAATTGATATTTGTCAATTTGAAATTTCACCGTCTTTAAGAAAATCAATTAAAATTTGTATAAGTTTACAAATAAAATTATTGAGTAAAAAATTTGTATAAGTTACAATAAATTATTGAGTAAATTGACTATATTACCTTAATTTAATACTAATTTTCTAAGAAAATCATTAAATTAAAATAATAAATATTGATCATTTACGAAGAGTAAATATGAAAAAAAAAATTTATTACTCATCTATAAAAAAATAAATTAAGTGATTTAATCCATTATTAATTAAAAATGTCATCTATAAAATCCAAATAATGACCTCTCCAGAGTTTTACATATATTACTCATAAAAGCTTCTAAATTACTTTGCAAACCAAAAAAAAAAAAAAAATTTCTAACTTATTTTTCCTCAACAGCATAAAAATACCAGTTTGCTGAAAAAATTGATCAGATATATTATTTATTCAATCTGCCAAACAGGTAAATAATACTGTAAATAACTACAAACATTTAAAATAATATTTTTCAAAAAAATACTTTCAACCATAATACCTCTTAATAATTCCATGTGATCTGCCAATATGCATTTGCTAATTATAGCCATGCAATCCTTTAGACGCAAATAATTTCAATAATAATAATAATAATGTATGATGTATGATGTATGATGTACGATGTATACAATCATTTCATGTTAGATAATGTTGGGTGAAGCTGACGCAAGCTTGCATTTCCATACAAGAGAGGACCCTTCATGGAAACCACGATGGACCCAAAACTTAATTAATTTATCATATCTTTTCATCACACAAGAAAATCAGTCCATCCTTACTTAATCAGAGTAGTTCCCCTGCCTATAAGGAATCGTTGAAGTGATAAGATACGTTTTAATTCAATACATTATTTCCATAAAATTAAAGATTTCGATATATGAAAAATCGATCATAAATTCTGAAATAAAATTAATCTCATACTATAAAAAGTATCATATTATTTGTGAGAAAAAGAAAGAGTAATTTCTCACTTTGAGTTCGTTATATAGAAATGTCTCGGATTCTTTATTCTCGTGTATATAATTTATTTTTCTTATTTTTTTAATTCATTAGGAGGCCTAATGATTGAAAATAACATTAAGGATTACATAACATGGGATAATTTGAGACCTTTCACTTTTTATATAAGTGAGAAAACCAACCTGATTATACATGATTCATATTTGTTTTTCTTGTTTAATTACAAAGATAAACTTAATAACTTGCATAGAAATCGATTTATAGGTTCCATTTGTTTCCGTAAAATAATTTGCAAGAAAATATTTTCCACAATTTTTCATTGTTTGGAGAGACGTTTAGGAAAATAAGTTAACGAAAAATATTTTCTTAATCAAAGGAAAATTAAGTCATTTTCCTTGAAAATGGCTTCCCATCTTCGAGAGCGTAAAATATTTTTCGAACTTTGACAAACTTATTATAATATTATAAATCTATATTTTTTTTAATTTATTAATCATCAATAGCTATTATCACCGTTCACTACAGGCCACCACTGTCAGTCACTGGTGACTTTCGTAATTTACTATTTTTTTACATTATTCTCATATTTAACAATAAAATTTCTTAAAATATGAAATTTATATTATTATTATTATGGTCTTATAAATTAAAAATACATTATTCTCATATTTAACAATAAAATTTCTTAAAATATGAAATTTATATTATTATTATTATGGTCTTATAAATTAAAATTTTTTTAATATTTTTCACTAATTTTTAATATTGCAGCCAAACAACAGAAAATAAGTCATTTAAAAAATAACTTTCAAAGAAAATATTTTTCCTGAAAAATATTTTCTAAAGATAAGTTATTTTCTGAAAAGAAACAGCGGATTAATATTATCCTTACATCCAAAAAAATTATGTGTTAAAACATGAAAAAGGTATCAAAACTAGGTATTATCCATGGGAATATTGTGGGCTAACACGGTTTTAAAAGAAGATTAGGATAATGGAAAATGATTAGTTTTGGCAAGTTGGAAGTGGATTTCATACGTTTATGGGCCTCCAAGCACCAATGAAATAGTGCATCAAGATTTTTAATTATAAAAAATAATTACTTACCTATAATTAAATAATTGAACCATATAATGTCAAAAAAAAAAAAAAATAATTGAACCATATCATTTTTATGGATGCAAAAATTCCACGTAAAATAGGGAACTGTGCTCCATTATTTGATAGATCAAATATAGGACTTGTTTTACTTTTTGGTATACAAGATGGCTTTTGGCTTGGAAACATCAAAAGAAAACAACCCCACCAACTAATTAAACGTTAGCTCAATAATTAATGTTTGGTGAGGATTTTGATTATAATTTTATTGTGAATCACTTTGCTAAGATTAAATATATATATATATATATTTTACAAAAATTTTATGTAATAAATAATATAGAAATATATTATTGTGAAGTCTAGTAATAACGTTAGTTATCATTACTGTGAAACTATAAAAACTGAATATCAACAATTGTTTTCAAATCCAATTAAAAACATTAATAATATTTTTAATATTTTTTTCAGTTTTCAAATTAATTACTTAAATCAACAAAATTTCTTACATCAATTAAAAATAATTATTATGATAAATGTTACTGTTTATATAATTACAAATCAAAATTAAAAACTAATCTATTATGATAAAACTGAATAATAACTGATTATAATACAAATTAATTACTTAAATCAACAAAATTTCTTACATCAATTAAAAATAATTATTATGATAAATGTTACTGTTTATATAATTAATTAATTAGCGTCTGCTTATTTATATGAAATTTATATTTATATTTTAATAAAAAATGACATGTTATTATAGTGTACATGATAAATATGATTGATGTTTGTTATTTATTTTTGTTAAATTATTATGTCAAAAGTGTTATAAGAAATAAAGACAAATAAATTTTTATTTAAAAATTTATTTTAAATATAATTTTATGAAATTCAATTAAATTTTTTATTTTAAATTGTAACGTAATAAATTCATTTACTAATAAATTTTACAAGCTGGGGTAAAAGTTTATCTTGAGTTTATCTTGAGGATCAATAATTTATTTTCTCTTTCCTGCCGGAAACGAAGGACGAGCTTTTTCATTAGATAAATGCACGTCAGGTTTGTTTCCTATTAAAGTGCATAGTTGATTGCAGATTCTCATTATTATTATTACGTATGCTTATTAGGTGTTGCCAGTTGCTACTTCCCTTCTGAAATGGAAAACTTAGCTGTGGAAACTCCTTAACAGTGTCCATTCTCAGCTTCAATTGTTTCACTTAATTATGTTGGAATTGAGTTTGCGAAAATTGGGTTTAGGAAATTGCATATATGTAAACACCAAGTACAGTGCTTTGTTTTTTTGTCTTTTTTTTTTTTTTTGTATTATTATTCTTTTAAAAAGAGTTGCAGATTCCATTTCTCTATCTTTCTCCGGTCACCGCAGACTTGGTTTCTGGGTATTTCTAAGACTCTCTTCTGGTTAGGCTTCTTGGATTCTTTGTACTTTTGCTTATGCAACATACCAAAATGTTGCTTTGTTTCGGGTTGGGGGTGGGTGAAAAGAGCTATTTTCATACTGAGCTGTTAATCCACATCTGAAGGATAATATTAGGACTTATTAACAGGGGTATTAACAGTAAATTCGAAGCGTTACAAATGGTGTCTTGAGTAATGTTTAGAATGACACAGTAAATGCATTGTTGAGTCACATTTCCCAGAGTTGAAAATGTTAAAGTTACAGTTACAGCTCCATTGAAGTAAAATTGATGCAAGTGTTGTTGACAGTTTTTGGGGAAATCTTGTTAAAGTCATTTAGATTTTGTTGTATTTTGTTGAAGTCAAGAGGTAGGGTAGGTGAACTACCTTGCTTATTAGGTTAGGTTTGGTGAACAACCTTTCCTTGACTTATGGAAGGTTGGTAGAATAAACTTTTAGACTAGCTTCTACTATAATATGTTACATTATGCTAAGTAATGGAATTAATAAGAAATTTTAAAATTTTTTGGGGGGTTTCTTTCACCCCAAACCTTCACAAAATCTGCTAGCTTTTTCTTTTTTCTTGCAGATATTTCCTTCTCTTCCTTAATTTTCTGCTTTTCTAAATTCAACAAGGGTATCAGTAGCAAACCATTGTATCTCAAAGGGCTTGATGTTGTGGTTTTGAGATTGAAAGTCATAAGAGAAAGCCCACCAATAAACCAGTAATTTGTTGAGTTTTTTGTTTATTTGCTTTTCCCTCAATAGCTTCCAGCAGCATGTCTCTTTCACCACCTCATTTTTAATTGGGCGAAAACATCATGTTTGGGCTTGTAAAGATGAGAAGCTTATTTCACAGGGCTTTGCATTATGGCAGTATGTGGATGGACAGAAGTACCTCCCCACCTCTTAATTCAAAAAA